AATTATTCCGAAAGAGAAACGTTCGGGGTCTCGGAGAGTCGGTCTCGCCTGGAAACTATGGGGCGCTGCGTTTACGGTGCGGCCGCTTCTTGAATAATTCCCAGCCGAGCCACATGTCCGAGGCTCATCCAATTTTCCATCGAGCGTGTTTCGAAATGGTCGTCGTTCGGATTACAACCACCGCGCGGCTTGGCTGGACGAACAAGACCGTGGCCGGCAAGCTCACGGGTCTCCGCTCGGAATCGTCTGCTCCCGCCTGCTCGGACCGCTCGGACCGCCGGATTCTGCTTTGTGCGGTCGAGGAGTTGAGCGTACCGACCGGCCAACACCCGCAAAAACTTGAATTAGTTGTCCGCCGAGAGTTTCTTTCGCGCGCGCGAGCTTCGATCCCGGTCGACCGGACCCGGACCGCTCGAAACAATGCCGGCTCGCGGTTTCCCCGCTCGTACCGTTTCGTGTTTCTCGTCCCGCGTGCGATTTTCGAATACAGCAGACTTCCGTATAACACGGACTCGTGTTACAGGAAACCGCGTAACACGAAAATTTTCCCTCGTATAACACGAATAATACGGAAAATTCTCCCCGATTGTCCGTCAACTTGTAAACGAAAATCGAGAATTTCGGAACACAGGAGGTACGATTATTCGAGTCTCGCGCCTCGTTTTTATGGTTGTTGAATGAGCCGCGAGTCTGGAATAAACGTATCTGCTATTTCCAAATGGTCCATTTTTGTTTATAAGCCGAGAAACAGTTGGGGAGAATTTACTGTGTTGAATTTACGTTATCGTGTGTTACGTATGGAGACTTTCTCACAGTGACAGTTTTTACCTTTTTGGGAGTTTGTGCGCCATACGGACGGTTTTGCAGGCTCGCGTGTATATTATGTTCAAGTGGGGCCTCTCATTAACACTAAATTTAGAGAGCACACAAAATTATATGTTACTTAAAAATTTTATATTAGTTTAATAATAATAAGATATTTAATAACAGATATTTATAACAATAAGATATTTATTCTGATCTTTAACCAGAGTTATTGTAACATTTTCCGTAAGTAATATATGAATTAAATAAATAACTCATAAATGTATCTTTACGATATGAATAATCATAAATTAGAAAATTAGTGTATAACACGTAAACAGGGGTTCCAAGAGGCTTGATAGCAAGGCCACGTTTAAAAAGTTAGAAAACAAGTGTTTTTTATTCGCCTTTATCATTCTAAGCAATAGCAACCTTTAAAAAAGGGCATACTTAGTTATGATCTAATAGACTGCTCGCTCTATCGTCTAAAACAAAATTCAAGTCGTTTAGTCCAGTTCTAAAAAAGTTATTGCTGTCTTGAAAAGTGTCCGAATATTAACGGGAGTCGCTGTATTTACATTCCGTAATACGTTGTGCGATTGACACTACTTCAGACGTTTCGCGCAACCATGAAAAGACTTGGTGTGTGACCGACCTTGTTGTTTGTGGTGCTCGTTATTGAAACTTAAATTGTAGGGCAAGGGGTTAATTCGAAGAAGCTTGTTTCCATTGACACAGCCAGAAGCAAGATAAGTGGCCACAGACGGAGCAAAAACAGAAGCGCGTGTTTACTTGTCTGCGACACCGCACGAACGGTATTGTGTCGCGGGATAACACGTCCATGGTATCGCACAAGCGGCATTACGTCGCGAGATATCTTGTCCGTAACCTTATGCGAACAGTATCGGTGTCGTGACATAACGCGGCCATGGGAGCGAAGCGGTTAAGGAGATTTAATTCTGAGAATCTACTAGTATCATTTCTGTGAATCTGGTTTCATTGTGGTCTAGTCCCAATAAGCACCAAGGCCCAATAAGGACCAATAAGGCCCAAGAATTTGGGCCCTATTATGCTACCAAAAATCGTCTAAAACTGATACAGGGAGCGGAGCGATTAATATATGAGGTTCTGAAAATTGCAGTACCGATTCCACAGACTAAAAATATGCAACTACCTCATCGACCGACTCTGACAGTACACACAAACGGAACATACTCTCAACCCGAAGCAGTCAATACAGGAGTCCAGCAAAGCTCGATTACATCTACGTAAGTGACATCAATAAAAGCCTTAAAATCCAACTAGTCATATACATCTGCAAACGGTACTATCATCTTCTTCTCCTTCTGACAACTCACACATGCCATAAAAAACTTACAAGAATATGTCAACCGAATTGCACAATACAGTAATTTCTCCCTGATTCGCGTTCAGATTGCGCACGAAAATGGACAATATAGGAAGAAGGAATACGATTATTCGAGCCTTGCGACACGTTTTCATAATTACCGATTGTCAGCAATTATAAAAACGAGACGCAAGGCTCGGATGATCGTATCTCCTCTATCCAAATTGTCCATTCTTGTGCGCGATCTTGGCGCGAATTAAGGAGAAATTATGGTACTTCGACGAATGAAAAATAAATGTAGACAAATCACAAGCAATAATGTTTCACAGAAAAAACATCTCATTCCCTACGAATACGCAAATAAAATCCACAACCATCCCCTGGCCCAGCGAAGTAAGGTATCTCGTACTTATCCCAGATAGGAAACTGAACTGGTCTCGGCCAAAAAATAAGAAGATCCAAAAAACAGATCTGCTTATCAGATTTCTGTATCTACTCACAGGCAAAATATCCCCGTAAAAAACAAGTATCAAAAGAACTCTCTATCATGCGCACGATCTATTCTGTGTGATCAGCAAATAATATAAGCCACAGGCCGTAGCAGCCAATATCCATTTCAAGAACAGAATTTCGTTTACCGATAACCGATATGGATAAGTGAAACAAATCCTCCTTATCAATAAACACGACTTTGTTACTGATTTTTTTCACAGGAATATTTCAAAATAACTTTGATATTCAGTTCCAGAAAAGCCATGTTACTGTACGGGCAATAAGACTACTGAATTCTGACCAACGTTTTCATACATTTATGAAACGCCATTAATGGTCAACGTTGCGTTAACACAATGTTAAACTCATAATCTTTCTGGTTCGATTATGGAAAGAGACTTCAGAGATTTGCTCAATATTTTTGCATTACAATTTCATCTTCCAGCCGAATTGTAGATTATTTTGAACGTTTTAGAAATGTTGCAAACATACAATGTTGAATTCAATCATGCATGTAACATGTTTCGAGTGCATTGGATTTCTGTGCGGGATAGCTAGTATTGTAGTGCAATTTTTATATTTTGTAAATATACATATATAGAGATTTATTTACTTCGTTCCCTCAAACGAAAAATATGAAGAATTTTCCTGCACGCTGAAATAAGTCGCAATCTTATTTTATATTTTGTGATTTAAATAAAACTAATATGGTTTCACTTAGACAAAGTTACGAAACACTGAACGTTTTAATTAATGTTTCTTACAATATAATTAAACAAAACTATTAAATATAATTAGTATTGGGAATGATAGAATGTTTCTTTATTTTGCTCTGTTTCAATTATTTAAGAAACAGTATGTTATGTACATATGTTAGTTATGTAACAGTTTTAGTATGTAAAATTGCTCTTGTAAACTTGTTAATGTTATCATTTTCGACAATATCATTTCAATATATCATACTGGACACTCCAATATCAATATGTTTTCAGTTGAGAAATGTTTTTTGACAGAGTTATTGCAGGAACAGCGTCGTTGCCATGGTGAAATATAGCGTTACACCTCGGTTATTCTACGAACGAACTACTCAATTTGTTTCTAATGAATTTTAAACGATCGACAGCTATCGTACAATCGCCGATGAACATAGTTTCATATCATTACGGAACCTTCGCTTCACTGACAACTATTTGAAATTCTCTCAACTTTCCGGAGATTGCGAAAGTGGTACTTTCCGCTATTAGGCCATGAAAATTCACTTTCTTCTCATTAATGAAGAGCACTTGCCAGTAAAAATCATAATTGCTTACTGATTAAAATAGGATGGTTATCCGAGTATGGCGAAAGTACTGTGACAATAATGGCGAGATCCTGTACAACGAAAGTCTGAAATTAAATGCTGCGAGCAATGTTGTCTCGAAATTAATGGAAATATAAATTCCGAACTATGCCAGTAGAATAACTTAAGAAGAATTCGTATCATAGATTATATTATACATATATCATTCTAAAGTCAACTTATTGTTTAATCTATGTAATTGCAGTATTCATAATCCTGTTCAATCGAATTCTGACATTTCAGAGCTGTCATTCGATATCAAATAAGTTTGGCCCTATTTAAAATATTGTAGAATTTGAATAACTATCGATGTCGTAAAACTAAAAAGTATCGTACATTGTACATCATACGAGATAAATATTAACTTTGAGATTAGTATGACAGATAATGACAGATTTCCGAAACTTATCACCCATTTAACATGAAACTTTTTCAACTCCTTTTTTCTCTTCCTTTCCTTGTTCCTTTCTTTCCTTTCCTTACAGTGTCGAACAACAAGGTGATCATTTTTTATAAAATTGTCGTAACTTCTTTCCCAAACCTTTCCAAAAATTATCAGCCGACGCTAAAGACGTTAAGTGACATTTTACGCTGTTCCTGGTATAATGTATTCGGTTAAACGACTCTTCCTTCGAAACGAGTTCATAAAATGCAGATTAGGTGAGGCGAAATCAACGGCGAAAGGAAAAAGTCGAAAGACCGGATTACTCGGTCGGCGAAGATAATCGGAAAACAATTAGAATAATCGATTAAACGTATCCTGGAAGCGGCAATATATCCTCGAATAAGTCTCGCCGGGATCGTTCCGATAGCTCGGATAGCTAATAGCTAGCAAAAGCAAAGATTCTCGATTTTTCCGATATCACGAGCCCACCAACGAATTCCTCTCGAGCTGTGGAAGAGAGGCCGATGGAAGGAGCCAATACCGAGCACTTGAGCGACGCGCGACTGAATCCTCGATTGGCCGCGGAGACGGTTGATTACCCTCGTGGTGCGGGGTTCCGCGGCTATACGTACCAGCATCTGCGAGTCGTGAGGGAAAACAAGGGACCTGGTTCGCCGTGAGGGACTTTCGATCAGCTTGGTGCCGTTGTTCGCCGTGAAATCGTCGCCTCCATCCCCGTCGCTACCCGAAGTCTGCGGCAGACACCGCGACAGGCAAACGAGCAACAGCGTCAGGAAGACCCTCGTCCCAGCCATCGGGAGCTTAGGCCCCGAGCGACAGGATTACTCGCGAGGCGGAGCCGAAGTGAGCCGAAGCGAGCCTAGGCGGCGCGGTCTGGCTTCAGCTTCGAACCGTAACCGAAATGGAAACCGCCCCCGGTGAGCGTTCAACGGAGCCACGAAAAATGAAGCTACAGCGATACCGGTCGACCGATGAATAACCGATTCGGTCGTAGCTCCGCGAGCGATCGCCGATAACGCCTCGTCGGAGGACAGAGGGCTCGGCGTTCAGTCGTTTGCTAATTCAATTGACTGTGATTCGCGCCGATGGGCTGACTACAAGCCGAGGAGACTTTGCTTGTAACGGGAAGCCTCGTTAGCAACCCGCTCCGAGAGGACATCTGCTGTCAGTCTTTGATTAGTCTTTGTTTGAGTTTCCAATTTAGCCGGGAATGTGGCTTGTTCTCCTTGATTCTTGGGGACGCGGCTGGTAACGATGATTATCGACACTTTGGACCCGCGATAAACATGACGAAACTCCGACGCAAGTAGCGGTTCCTGAGGACCGCTACAGCGGAAGAACATTTCTTTCGCGACATTCATTCACCAACGAGATCATCGATTATCTACGGTAATTAATTAACGCTAGATTTACGGAACCGTCAAAATGTTTACGATTATTCATATCGTATAGATGCATTTATGAGTTATTTATTCAATTTATATGTTACTTACGGCAAATGTTACAATAACACTTGTTAAAAATCAGAATAAATGGGGCACCCATTTAGCGTGTGGGGCGCGTGCCATTTTTTTAAGTACTTCAATGTGCTGTCTTCTTTTACATATTTTTATGGATATATTTTTATTACATTAAAAGAAAGAAAACGGGACAGAAAATTAGAAAGAGATCGAGCGAGGCAAAATTTGGTTGATGTTTTACATTATGATGATGTAGCCCCTATAGTTGAAAAATTCGATAATGTGGATTATGTAATTGATTTATATGGACATATAGTAGGAATGGAACTTTCTCCAGATCATAGGTTAATTATTTACATTATTAACGCGAAACATAGTATATATTATTATATATTTTATACTTTATTTTTTTACTTATTTACACTTTATTTTAATATAAGTTATTTATGCTTTTTATTTTATATACTTATATTAAATACTTCAGGTATTTATATGTTAACATAAGACCATGGCCACAAGATTGCCATAGCCCCCAACCACCACCAATGGCTAAAGAGATAGATATTCGTGGAATTGACTTAATGATTTGGCGGCGGTCGTAAGTGTGTGTGCTTGGGTGGAGAAAAGGAGAGGGGAGACATTTCGTCCGGGGCCCGCTAGCGGACTCATCGGTAAGGCTATCCTAGCGGGCCCTTGCCTTAGACGTGGGGGTAGGAAGGTCGAAGTCTCTGTATATATAGGGATCGAGGCGGATCGGTTACTAGCAGGAAGAGGAGCCCTCTGCTGGCGGGTTTGGAGGTAGCCGCCACACTTTTATAAACTTGTATGAAACAGCTGCTTTTTGTGCTCGGTAAATCTAGGGTTAACATGTATTTGGCTATCGAGATCGAGGAAGCAATCGTACCGAGGATTTCGATTGGTATCTGTGCCATAAGAGTCTTTGATTTTTGCTGATGCTGTTAATCCCTTGCCATATTTTGACAAGCGTGACATGTGATAGAGATTTCTAGTAATAGTACGAATGGTATTCCGTTCTTTTTAGTTTGAATGAAATTCTGATTTCTTGTCATTCGTATTTAAACGATCAGCGAACGTAGACACACAATAAATATAAATTGTCTTTTTTCTGTTTAGAAATGATTACGATCGAAAAACTTTTAATCATTGCAACTATGAAGAAAATGGTACGGCAACGGTTAAAATGATGGTTTTGCTACTGTTTTACTACTAAGCGCATACATTTCCGAATAGAATTCTAGCGTTAACGACCAATGAATGAGCACTTAAACAAGTCGATCAAGCTTTTCAAAATAAAATTGATTGTGAAAAGAATACGGTGAACGTTACTTTTTCACATAATACAAGAAATGTTCACACACTGGACACGTCATTATTTGTTCGCAGCGCATATTTTCTCCCAAGAAATCGGTACACATTCATGGAACATGCCATGAATAATACCTAAAGTCTTCTAGAAAATCGTACAGATTAGATTATTTATAGTATCTTCAACCAGGCTCCTCCTTGATAACTACGTAATCCGAAGACGTATCCGGGGACGAACGTCCTGAATCAAACATGAGATCTTCAGTAATTACCTTAGCAGAGTGAATGGATTATAAGGCGACGATGCAATTTATTTGGCAAGTGGTTTGCGCTCTACTTATTTCCAATGGAAATATGGTGTAAGTGCGGAGAAGCTCTAGGGTGCTGCTACACAGTACCAAACAGAGTAAGTAAGTGTATAGTGCATGCGGCTCGCAATACGTAATTTGGAGGCAAGGTGAAATGTTCTCGAAGCGTCTGACAGTCTGCAAACCCGGCATTAAATTGAATTACAACCCCTGAACGGCCATCGTAAAACTACCCCTCCTCTTAGTTTCTCTCTCTCTCTCTCTCTCTTTCGCTCTCTTTCTCTCTCTCTCTCTCTCACACACACACTTGGTATGTACACGAATCTTTTCTCAGCGAAGGCGGGCACGCATACCGGCTTTTATCTATGTGGGTTAAACGATGTCCATTTGTCGTTCCTTATCCGCCTGGCTGAGACGTTCAAACAGGAAATCGAAAGCTTGTCTCGCCCCAGAGAAAATCGATGGGTGGATTTCAGTGAATCTGTGACGATACTGCGACGGAAAGCTGTAATCGGATCGTGGAGTCAAAAATGGCTTTGCGGCTAATGAAAACGTCGATGAGACGTTCGAACGTTAATTAACGGATAAGATGCAATGCGGCGCATCAATTCGTTGTCCTCGTTTCTGATCAAGAAGTTTCTATAAAATACGTGACGTTTTTCGATTGGTCGAGCACGTACCGGCAATCTTTTTCCGATTTTTGAGAGATAATTCTAGTACAGATATAGGAACGTTATAAAATTCTGTTATAATTATAGATTCTTCACCGAAGATGACTCTTTAAATATCACTCACATGCAACCTTAATAATTCAAGCACTCATATTTCCTTCACTGAACTGACTAAATTTTTGGACTGATAATTCCAACATGAAATATTCTAACATTTTGTGATATAAGAAGGTAATTCAATTTTTTGCAACGGAAATGTTTTAGAGCCGCGGTTATTCGTTTGTTTCGAAACTTCACTTACTGAAACATCGAATGTTGGCCGCCATAAGGAAAGGATTGGAATATCTGAAATGAAAAATGTATTATTTAAAATATGATGTACATATTTTCGGAAGAAATTGAAGTATTATAGAAGTGACATTATACAAGCAATTATAAAAGTTTTAAATGGGCGAAACTGCTTTTATTAAGAAAAGTTTTAAAGTTATTTTAATAATGCAATAGTTGAGACATCGACAACATCATAATCTAAATCGTAGACAATTTTCTTTCCGAGTTTCAACAAAATCTCTATTCCTATAATTTCGCTAAACATCCGAACTTTAAGAGATCTCTATAGCACAATGATCTATATATCTGTCGACTTGATACTTGAAATAAACAGTTTTCCCGTAGGTGGACGCGTAAAGGTCGTGTAAAGATCATCGACGTTTTTCTAAATGGACACTTACATCTTTTTTTTCGCATATATCGAATCCTTTCTTTATTCTGCATAAAAAAGTGTTAGAGTAATGTTATCGAAAAATTAACAATTTAAAGGATTCGTTTAAAAAAATTTTCATGATGTTTCATTACAAACTCGATCAAATTTAGAATATTTTCAACAGGATAATGCATCAGCACACAATACACTTTCATATGACGATGATGTGCACGCATATCCTATTAATTGAGTAGAAGATCTAAGAGAACAAATTACAGTTCATTGCAGAGCAATAACCAAGCGACAACTTAATTCAATAATGAAAACGATTAAAAAGCGTTGTGTGAAATGTTTGGAATGTGATGGCAAGGTGTTTGAACATTTACTTCGATGAAGACATTTTTTGAAAAAATCTTTTAAACTATTCACTTTTCGATAATATTACGTATAATAACACTTCTTTTTACACAGAATAAAGAAAGAATTTGATATATGCGAAAAAAGATGTAAGTCTCCATTTAGAAAAACGTCGATAATCTTTACATGACCTTTACGCGTCCACCTACGGGAAAACTATTTATTTCGCATCATGTCCCCTTCAAGACCATTCATCTCTCTCCTCTAACATTTTTTCCTATCTCGAACCAAAACGAAGATAAAGCTTGTTACAGCTCCGTGAATCATCCTGTATACGTGAACTAGAAGTGCGATCAATAAAATGTTGTTACTGCTAATTTATTACGACCAACACTCAGCAAAAGTGTCGTATGGGAATATATAACGTGATAGTTTCTAAAAAATTTCTGGATTTTTAAATATGTACATACTCCTCAACCAGCCTTTAGGATATCGGGTACCCGAAAATTCTCGGGACACGATTTCAAATTCGGGTGCCCGAATTTTCCGGATAACCAAAAGTTTCGAGTCCCGACCTGAACCCGAAGAAAATACCCGACCCGATTTTAACCCGACATCTCGGGTACCCGCCCACCTCCATAAATTACATAAACTTGAAAATTTAAAACTGTACTGTATAGATTTTCCTTTGTAATTTTCGGAAACGCAGTGCCAGATTTTTTAGCACTTCTTTTCTGGATGACAAAATTGTCAATCTTCGAGGCAATAAAAAATCGCGCAATTAGGAATACGAGCAACAAAAAATACGAGCATCTTTTTCATGCGCGTCGAGATGCTTGTCAAACTTCTTGGCCACGATCAGCATTCTGCCCGATGGATAGTTCGAAAAATTCTGCGGAAGTAATTAATTTCGTCTCGACTATCGGCTTCTAGGAACGCGGACACGACAGTCGATCCGAGCCACAGGAACTCTTGGAATACGTCATTGAGAAATCCGTGATGGCCCACGCTCGAAAAAACTCGCGAAATTGTATTCCGAGCAGGGTGAACGGCTCGAAGGGCTCAGCAAATTTTCGTCGGCTGTCGAACAGACGGGAACTTTATTAAAAATTTCGGTCCAGTCATC